TTTATGTGCTGCAGAACAGGAACCTGCTGTAAAACAGCCATTATGCTGAGTCAGGCTTGATTTTTAATAATCTTTTCCTGTTAAATCAAATCAAATCAATTAGCTGTAAATTAATGTGGGTGACGTCTCATTATTTAATTTTCATCCCATAGTTCTTCTTGTCATTCTGGTGTCAATACCACAGATATCATCAAAAGTCAAACAGCAAGATTTGTTCCCCCTTTATTGCTTTCAGGTTAGTATCAAAAGACACATGATAATACGAAGTGAGAAGTTTCTCTTTACAACAATGTTTTGGTTTGTTTCAGGCTGTTATGGTGTCCCTTCAAGGTTTTCTGAACAGCATGGTCTATGCCTGGAAACGGCCCAACTTCACAGATGCTGTTCTCGGGGAAAACACACCCCTGTTAAGATACAACCAGATAGCCTTCTTCGATGAATCTCTAAGAAGCTGATGCTGTGAGGGCCATTGTTGTGCGGCAACACCCTGCCCTGGCTTCATGAAGTCAAACTGCACGCAACCATGACTTCATGGCAGCGAAAACTGGAACACAAACTGGACTAAGCAAGACAGATCACATAAAAAAGAAAACACAAACACTTTTAAAATAAGAAATCATGTATTATTTAATTGTGGTTACTGTAGTTTTTTTTATTAGAAACAGCAATTGGAACTTTTTTGTGGGAAATGTGTGGTACTTATTCTTATTGTACAGTTTTCTTAAAAAAATGTTAGATATCAAAGATCACTGACTGTGTCCTGAGATACTTGATGTATCCTGCCAATGATTTTGCTCAGCTGTTTGCAATTTCAGATTTATTCTTTTGAATCAGCAAAAGCTTTGCTCAGTCATATTGGCTTCATGTGCAACTGTCCTTCTTCCTCTCTCTCTTTGGTCAAATAAAAGTTATGTAAATCCTGTCACGACTGCAGTCTTTACGCTCGAATTTGTTTCATTTAGGGTGCACGTGTCGCCATTTACTGCTTAAAGGGTTCAGTAGGTATAGGTGCACCGAGGAATGCTGAGTTGTTACACAGAAGAGGAACATGCTATCTGCTCTGTCATATTTGTGTGCAACCACAAACGTAAGCATATCTCACAAAAACGAATCGTGTGTGTTCAGTGCAGCTGAGGTCACACATAAAGCATGCTTGCTATGTTGACAAAGAACACGTCACGCAGGACGTAAATGCATCAGTAAACTGGTTAGACCATAATTGAAAATAGCAAGATGGCATATCATTGCTGTTCCGTGAATCAATCTACAAATCTAAAATTATATAAAGTCTATTTTTAACAGTTCTTCTGCAACATCTAAATCTATTAATGTAAGTTATTTATATACCATAAATATGTATTTAAGCTTTCCCAAGCTCCAGCAAATTAAGAAAATGTGTAGAATTATGAGAACAGAGTGAAACCATTGTGTAACGGTGAAATAGAAACTGATCCAGAACAAACACACAAGAAATTTAGGCCATAGGTTTTCATAGCTTTTATTAAAATAAGAACCCATTCTTCTGGTGACTGGGCTGTTATCTCATAGGAAAACCCACTTATGTGCTTCACTGATGTCAAAATGTGATATATATCTGGCCCACATGTAGTTTTAGTCAAAGGGGAAATGTATTGTAAACTTGTTATAAAGTCACCTGAGCAGTCAACATTTAACCAAGATGGGCAACTCAGTTGGATGTATTTTAAGCCATTTTTATTCCAGTGTCTTGTACCAGTTTAAATAAAGCTTCAGCAGGCTTGTTTGTGACAAACATTGGTTTTACTGCACCTCCCATTTAACCCATAAAATTTTATACAAGAGAGACGAGTTTTGTTCCTTTGACTAATCTAAACCTTGTGACGGCCATAATGTTTTAGTTTTGACGTGGAGTTTTCTGCATCTGTTATTTTCACTTTGCGTAAACAGGTTGGCTTCCATCAAGTGCCAAAGGTAATGACTGATTTAATAGTTCTGCTGTGATGTGGGGGAATTTGCAGGTGGTTTTTGTTCCAATACAAATAAATCTAAGAAAGTTTCTGAGTAATCTGCTTTAATCTTTGACAGAAAATTTTTGCTCTATTCAGCTCTTCCAAGACAGCATCCTCATAGCAAAATGTGGCATTAAGTGGTCTCTACAAAAAAAAAAAAAGTTAGATTTTTTTAATTTGTCTCTTACCAATAAACTGAAATAATTTTTTTAGTAACAGTAACACAGTATAAGCTCAGCTGAGCACTTATACTGTTAGGGCATTTTGTGGATGTAAAAGCTTTGCAGACTTTATTTCATACACCCACTGACCTAAATTTCTGTTTACTTCAAGCCATCTTTTGTCTAATGAGTCACCGACACTCTGCCCCTTCCTACAAACTGGAAAAACATCCAAAGTCTGAGTATGAAACGTGTCTCATAAATCAAGTTTCTATAACCCAAACAGAGGCAACCCAAGGCATTTCAAAAGAACAAAGCTTGATTCATTACAATGCACTGTTTTTACCCCCCGCGTGGTATATTTTCTTTCTATCAGTCATGTTAGTAAAGACAGAAATCCTTTTTTTTATTGAATTGCTTATAGGCATATCAAACCAAAAGTTAAAATATTGCTGCATGACATAAACAGCAACCAAACACTGGCACTAAAAAAATGCCTGTGAATGTGTTCGTCTGCTAGCGTGCATAGTTGCTCTAACACTTATCTGCCCAGTGAGTTTGTTGAATATGATAAATGAACCGAACAAACTTGGATTAGCTGATGAATCGACGGGGCATTCTGAATGTGGCCTGTCGGCGCTGCATCTCCAGGGCAACGAGAGTCATATGGGTGAATTTAGTGTTGCATGTTCTGTAGAGAAAACTGGGACAATTCTCCCACTATCACGCAATCAGGAAAGAACAAGATAATAAGGACATTCTGCATGTTCAAAAGCACCAGGATAACGTGCAATCTGGAGTTTGTTATATTTTTATTACAATAACTTATGCAACAAAGTCTGCTGATTTTCTCCTAGTTGTCGTCAGCCGTGACAGTGTTTTATAAAGGCAAACTTGACTACTGATTGTAAAACATCAACTTATGAAAATAAAGTTCATGGGGGAAATTCCAGATGGCACACCCGTTAAAAAACCCATGCCACCAAACTCCTTCCTTCTAGAAACTGTTCCAAATCAAGCGTGACATGAGACATCATGCCCCATTTTATCCTTTTTTCTTAACAGGTACATTAATGAATCAAAACTGAGGTAATTTTTTCCCCAAAGAAATCACACTTAAAAAATTAAACACAAATTCATAATTAATAAATCTGTTTGCTTCATATTAAAATATATTTACCTAAAAATGACAAATGTGTTGTCACATTTATGCTTTTATCACAAATGTGATAACAGCTTCCCTGCAGCTGTTTTAGAGTCGGAGCAGATTTGGCAGTTCTCAAAGTTATGCCCTTTAACAAAACACTGTGTTTTCCAACCTTACTGGATAAAAGGCAAATAAAAAAGTGGTAAATGACAGTGAGTTTTTATTTCTTCCACTTTTAGGAATGTTAGCACAGTTCAGAGCTCGAGCTGCTGCAGTTTTTACCGTGCCAACTCCCACAGCTCCTTTCAAAAGTCCATGGACAAAGTTCTCCGCTGAGCCATCTCGTATTTGCCTCTTTGGTGTCCCACTCGTCGCACGTACAGATCATAACGCCCCTCTTCCCTCTCCTCCTTCTGTTCCATAACTCGATCTTGCCGCCACAGCATCCGATCCCCCGGGTGGCTCTGCATTCGGCTTTGCTTCACACTGGGCCAGCTCTTCTTCCGCAAACTGCTGTTAAAGTCTCTAAAAGGAGGTACGGTGGTTTGGCAGTCCCCTCGGAATGGGGGCAGCTCTATAGATCCTTTGCCCAAGATGTATCCACTGTGACCAGCTTTGATGGAGTTGATGGAGGCCTGAGAGCCACAGTGGTGTTCATGCACGCAGCGCGAACCTGACGACAGTCTCCTGAGAGCCTGCATGGACAGGAGTTCATCCGACAGCTCCCTGAGGTTCCCAGATATATCCTAAACATTTTAAAAGAATATATTTTCTGTTCAATAGCATTTTGAAGAGAAAGCAAAAGATTCTCAAGTATGAAAGTAATTACAGGAACCTTGTCTCTGCGATTGAAGAGCTCGTAGTGCTGGGAATCAAACACCTTCTGCAGGTCAGCACGCCGAAACAGCTTGTTCTTACGTATCACCACCTTTAGACGCAGTACAAAAATGATTTAAACATCGATATATGGCATGAATTTCCTGCTATCAACTCATACTAATTACCTTTTTACGTGGCTGTTTGACTTGCACCATAATGGAGAAAATGAAGAGTAGCAGGACCACGCCCGTGGACACACAGAATATTGTTGCCTGAGTCTTTGTGATTTGGAGAAAAGCAGCTCTGGGTTTTGTGTCTAAAATAAAAATTTGAAAAAGACATCAATGTAAAACACCAGTTTCTGACTTGTCGATGCATTTTTCAAGATAAAGCTAAATTTTGAGAATAATATGACAAAAAATATCTATGGTAATAATGATTCTTACTTTTGCAAATTCAAATAAAACATTTGATAAAATTCTCATATTTTTCCATAAACACTTAACATAATTACATGTAAAGGTATCCCTAATTAGTTGCAACCGTAGACTTTATTTGATAAACATTTATTTTAACTGTCAAATAAACACTGTAAAAATACTGTGGGCTGTTTAGTTCTGTATATTTTTAAATTTTTATTTTAACATGGGTGGAGCCATTATATTTACACACAAAGCATTCTGGGTAAATGATGATGTGGATAGGTCCTCGGTGCGAGGCTGCTAGTGAGCTATATCCACCCTGAAGGTTAATCTTGGACAATATCTGATGATCGACTCTTTTACATGAAACCAGAGAGCGTTGACAGAGAGGAGAAGGTAGAAATGACAGCCTGTAACTGATAATGTGGATGGAGGACAACAGAGCTGCTTCATGGAAGAAGAACCTCAGCTTAGCCTGTTAGTCTTCGCGCTAGCGCCAATGCTATATTGCCTTATATGTATTAACTCAGTGCTAGTGCGACAAACAAGCTAAACTGAGGTCCTCCATCCATATTTTCAGTTGCAGACTGAGTCATTTTTGCGTTCCCCTCTCAGTCATGTGGATGGAGGACCTCAGTGACGAGAGGAGAATGTGTAGCACTGAGCTATAATATATGGTGATAGCGTCAGGGCTAATGCTAAAGCTAACAGGCTAAGCTGGGTTTCTTCTTCCATGAAGCAGCTCTGTTGTCCTCCATCTATATTTTCAGTTACAGGCTGAGTCATTTCTACCTTCTCCTCTCTGTCAACGCTCTCTGGTTTCATTTAAAGAGTCAATCGTCAGATATTGTCCAAGATTAACCTTCAGAGTGGATAGAGCTCACTAGCAGCCTCGCACCGAGGACCTATCCACGTCATCATTTACYCAGAATGCTTTGCGTGTAMATAAAATGGCCCCGTCTGTGTAATATGTTTTTAAACTTTTAATTTAAAAATTATAAAAACTCAACAGCCTACATTATTTTTACAGTCTTCATTTTAAAGTTAAAATATATGTTTATTAAATAAAGTCTTATGTTACAACTAATCGTGGATCCCTTTTAAAGAAATTCAGATTGACACACTAGACGCACACAATACTGCACAGCACAACACAAGTCATCATAACACAGAAAGTCAGATCAACAAAGAATGTTTCCGCCAGTGTTTTAGCAGACCTGGGGTACCTTGGCAGTTGCTTTCATCCCAAGGGAAGACACAGTTTTGTATGCCATTGCACACCAGAGAATTGTTGATGCACATGTTGCTGTGGCAAAAGAACGCGCTGCCTATACAGGGTGCTAAAACACAAACACAGTGTACTGTATGGCAGGTATGCAGACAAGTATGTACTGTAGGTAAAGCAATCAAAGCCACGAGCTGTAAGTCCTATGAGTGTCCATTTCAACTTTTATGAAATAGATATCATAATGTAACTCTAATGCAATAATGAATAGCAGCCATTTGAATGTGCTATTAAAAAATCATGAGTAAACCCACCACTAAACCTCAATAAACTTCTCAGAGTTGCAGAAGAGACTGAACGAAAAATAGAAAGTAGTTGGTGTGATAAAACTCACGGTCGGTGAAAATAGTGTACAGCATCCGGAAACGGCTGAGACGGCTTGTCTCATCGGCCCACATCCTCACTACTCCAAAACCGGTGTCCAGCATGATATCATTAGCAACTGTACTACAAAACTTGGCCTGAAAGAAACCACACACCATTTTGTTGTTTTTTTTTTCGGACATCTGTATGTGTGGTCTCATTGAGGTCAGGGTCTCTAGGTCAGCTGCTTTATGTGTTAATGATATCAAATAGAAATACTTTTGAGAAATAGAAAAAGATAAATTATGTTGTAGACAAGCTACGCTAACGAAATGAGCTACGCAGTGGCCTAAAGTTTGAGAAGACAAATAGTTCTAACATATTTTTGGACAGCTAATTACCTTCAGGTCCTCAATGGCACTACTGCCATCATAAACAGCCACAAAGTTCTTCTTACATTCATTAGAGTGTTCCATCTGGTATTCTAAGAACTTCAGGTAAATCTGGAATAAGAAAGACAAAGCCTTGTATAATCTATGACATCTGTTGGGCATTTTGTTCCATGTCAATCACGTTGTTTATTCCTAAACTTGATTTTGCAGGTTCCTAACTTCTGCCACTACTTGCTCCTTTTCTATATATTATGCAATATTATATATTTGACAAAATCAGCTTGTGAACGCCTAACACAGACAGTGTAGGAAATACCATGAGCTAATTAACAAACAACTTGAATGTGTTGCATGCCATACTCTGTTCCTTGCTGGAGCCTTTATAGTCCAAATGCAGTCCACTGCCTGGTCTGGTTTCACTTTGTGATCCTCTTCAACCTGACCTGAGCGGATCAGGCCGTCAAGGCCCGCCAGCTCAAACTGACAATCTGAACCACAAACACCCACAAAATGTGACAGGCAAAAATAGATAACTGGTTTAAACACTAATATTTTGTTTTAAAGTACATTGGAAAAATGCATACTGTTAAAACAGATATGGCTACTCTACCTGGTATGGGGTTCATAAGTCCTCCCACATGTAGATGAAACTCAGGGTCTTTGAGGGAAAATCACAAAAATAAATACATAAGATGGTCAGAGTGCAGGTACTGTACTTTACAAGCAAGAAGGGTTTGTACCAAAACATTATTTAAAATCTTGTACCCGGTTGGTACAGAGAGCATGTTACTCTAAATAGGGCTGAAGTTAAACCACCTTTGTGCATTTCAATTACCTGCTGTAAATTTGTACTGGACCTGGAAGCCTTTACCCTCCAGCTCTTCGTCGCTGAAGAACCGGATCCACATAAAACGACCACTGGAATAAATGACCCCAGGACTGGTTGTGCCACAGAAACGGTTGATGAGCGGTGAGAAGCTAAAGGGACCGTCTCGCACCTCGATGTTGTCAAAACGACAATCAAACGATGCTTCGATGTGAAAGAGCTTGTTGAAGAGCAGCTCCACTCTCTGGCGAGGCAGGGCTGTGGACAGAGCAGCACTTTGTCATTTCCTGTGCCACAGATCTATAGTTCAAACATGACATAAAATGGACAATAAAAAAAGTTGTCTGGCTGAATGTTTATAATGATGGAAAAAAGAAATCGGTTTCTACACAAAGTAGCTTTATAATAATCCCGATTTCACATATGTGTATCTGTTTTGCATGTTTATGGTGTGTTGAGATACATGGCCTAAAGGTAATACTGTAAAAATCACAACATTGCATCTTTATGTATCTCACGCTCAGTAGTGTGATCTCAATGTGCTGCCACAGATTTGTTGGTCATGTTGAAAACTTCTTTAGCTTTAATGTAGGAACTTTGAAACGCTGCACATAACACTCATGTTACATAGCCATGACATAACTATGCTGTTGCACAAGGCCTTGCAATGCTACCTAAATGCACTGTCTGCACTGGTATAATGACATACTGTACTTGTAGCTTTTTTATGAGCTTTACTCTAGGCCTTGTCCTTCTTTTCTATCTCATGAGAGGCATATGCCTTTGGGTAACAATGCCCTGGTACTTACCTGGTATGTACTGAATAAATATTGGTACATACCAGGTAAGTACAGGGTAATAAGCTGCTTCATTTTACATCTCAGTCCCCTTGAGTACCAAGTGTATATCAGGCTGCTTTTGGTATTGCTAGCTTCTTTTGTGTTCTTAGCAGATATACCATGTAAATTTTCCTGGTCCTTCAGGGCTGCTATCCTGCAGGTTTTCCTTGTTTTCTTGCTTCAACGCACCTGCTTCAGGGATTGAATTACATCTTCATGTTCTACAGAAAACTGTTAATCATCCGTTCATTCATTCATATAAGGGGTGTTGGAGCAGAGAAACATCTAAAACATACAGGATCGTGGTCCTCAAAGACCAGGATAGGATGTAATTAGAACAAAACTTGGGGTGTCATGTGGTTGCTGCTTTGTCCATATTGTGCTGCTGGAGTAAATGTGGCTTTTTAAGAATATCTGCATGGTGTTTTTCTAGTTAATGTTGTAGATTTGGTTTGGGATTTCATCAAAGATTCAATTCAAATCAATCAATTCAATAATACTTTATTAATCCGTAAGGGAAGTTAAATGTGACTCATATAATCCTGGTTTCTTTAAATGAGTTGAAAAGAAGACAAACTGTCAGACTGAGATCTACCAGAGTATGGAGCAACAGTAAGAAAACCCAAAACATTGTGTGCGAGGCCATGACTAAACACTGACAGAAGACTGTAATAGGCCAGAACCACAGACACATAAACAAACTTTGACAAAATGTTGGTGACCGCTGTAAAAATGCTGCAGCAATGTCATCAGTCTTATTTAGAAAACAACAAGACGATTACATCATTGTAATGAAACATGCACCATGTTTGTATTGTACCAGAATCAACAAAAACATCTCCCTCAATTCAGTTTCAACATCTACATAAAAAGTAGTACACATATTGAACGTTTTTTACTAAGTGAAAACATCGGACTATTGATTGGTTACCTTCCAGCACGTAAAGGCAGTCCTTGTTTGGCGGGTACATGTTTGGGTAGTTTGGAGAGCTGAAGCTTCCACCGTCTAGTTTTCGAACCCAAGTCCCACAGTGACGAGCCCTTCGTGGATGCTCAGGTGCTTTACCGTCTTTAGTTCCAGCACCTCCATCTACACATGGCAACAAAGACCAATAAAACAAAACGTCTTTTGTGACTCGTATTGAAGACGAGGAATCTTTGATAGCTTGGCTAAAAAAGCATACCTACTCACATAAAAACCTTTAATGAAACAGAAATGCATAAAGGTTGAGGTGGTTGTTTTAACAAAGGAGATAAAAAACAACCCAGAATGAATTACCTTTAATCTTCTGTGCAAGAGAAAATCCCTCCTCGGTGAATAGGAGGAGTATCCAGACTGTATGAGAAGCCATCAGTAAACGACACCACAGCGAGTGGGGGGGGGGGGGCACAATCAAGGAATAAGAGAAAAGATAGAAAGAGCTTAGCAGGATTTGTTTGCTCAAGTTCAACGTCTCGGTGAATTCAGCGGAATGCCTGAACGTACAGAAGAGGTCAGATGTCAGGAGTTCAGAGTCAGTGAGAGTGAGCCATCTGTGCACTCCCTTTCTGATTTTTCACACCCAAAAGGTAGAAATTAGCAAGCAAAACTTCAATTATATTCTTCTCTGATGCTGTGAACGTATAGTAGTTATAAAAGTTAATACATCGCATGGAAAATAAATGCATTGTAAATAAACAAGCTAGGCTGACAAATCCCAATTTTTACCTACGTGAATGTTGCTCTGAAAGTTTCCTGACACTAAAAAGAAGTATTAATTGATTTGTTCGTGCTTTCTTTAAACCTTGTGCACGTTTAAAAAGCTTCATTTTATGCCATCTTATGCTAGTTGCTAAAATTACCACCTAAATTGCAATAAAAATGATGTTTAATGACTCAGACAGATCAATTTCAGCATTAGATTAATAAAATAAGAAATGTTAGCATTTTGTTCTGTGTGCATTTAAACTACAAGGCACAAGCTACATTTTAGTTTAGGGTTAAATCTCCACAGTGACACTTCCACAGACACAATATTGAGAGTAAAGAGGAGGGACTGAAGCAGCAGCAGCAGGATAAATCCTCCTTCTCTCAAGACTCCTTACAAGCCGATACAAAAAAAGAGAGAGAAAACACAAACCCAGCTGAGAAAAAGTCTGTTTTGCAGATTTCTTTTTCTTTTAAATGCAGCATTTACAGCATGTAAGCAGAAACAATTGTAGAAGCACTATGAGTTGCGTACAAGTTGGACAAGAAACTCATTAAAAAACTTGGAAGATATTAAATCTCCTGTCAGAACAAAGTTTCTCTCAGATCAAAGATAACGGCTGATCTCACTCACCTGCATGCATCCTTCCTGCTGCCCGTTGTTTTCTTTTCTACCAGCTGCGTGTCCCACACATTCCCCTTCTGTGCTTCAGATTAGCGCATGTTAACGTTACTGACTCCAGCTTTCACATTTCCATCCTAATCTCTCTGGTTAAACAGAGAGAGGGGCTCCCGGCGCAAAAAACAAAAACAAAACAGGTCTGATGAATTTTGGAATCATAATCGTTTTTCCCCCTAACAAAACAGTTTTTTTAGTGCAAACTGCTCACACAAGAATGAGCCTCTTCCTCTCTAATAAACTGATGATCCGCCTGCAGCTGCTGGAGATTTGAAGATTGAGCTTGGAAGAGGGAAACGAAGGATTGCGCATGTGCACCCTATCCTCCTAGAGGAGTCAAGAGCTGACAACACACTCACTGTGTGACATAGTGAAGAATTACACTGGGAATCCCACATTCATTTTTTTAATTAGCTGATTCAGAGTGATGCACACTCAGTCCATCTGAAGAGATTTCACTGGTAATAAACCTGTTGTGTGATTTTATGCAGAAAGCAGGTTCATTTTCCGACCTTGTTTTTCCATCATTCACTACCTAAGGTCCAAAAAAACGTAGATCGAGCTTCCAAATTAATATTAACACATATAATTGGACTGATGATGTTGATGTGTTGTGTCCATGAAAGCTAGATTTTCAAGCAGAATGGCAAATAAATATTACTTAGCTTCTGCCTATCAGAAACGTCATTAAATGCAGACATGTGTACCTTGGCAACATGTTTTTATTAACTGTTATTTATCCAGTCATATCCCACTGAGATCACAGATCTCTTTTTCGAGGAAGGCCTGGGCCTGAAGGCAACCTATTGTACATGTTTTGAAGGGTGGGGGAAACCGGTGTACCCAGAGAAAACCCACGCAAGCATGAGGAGAACATGCAAACTCTGCACAGAAAGACCCCAGGTCCAAACGGATCAAACCCAGAACCTTTTTGTTGCGAGGCATCGTGCTGTTTTTGCCTATTATGATAATATGTGCTGGCAAGGTTTTCTATCAAATCAAAACAATGGTTGTCAATAGCAAACAGAGTTTCATTGAGGTGCTGACCTAAATATCACTGTTAACATGGTCACCACATTCAGCTTCACCGGCTACCTGTCTGTTCAGTTGTCCCAAACAATATGGCTGCTCCCTCCGACCATGGACAGTCATGAGATACCGCTTCTAGTTAATACACCTCATTGGCTGAGCCATTGTGTCTTTGAAGACCAAACATAGTGAGTGTCAGGCCCTGTCCCAATACCCGCACTCCCACCCTCGTTCCGCCCGTGCGCACTTCAAATACGCGTTCATGTTGAAGGGTTTGAGTGCGTAACGTTTCCCTCATTCTCCACATCCGCCCTTTGCCCCACCCATTTTAGGTACTATTTTCACCCTTCCGTGAAGTCTGTATTTATACGGACTTCAATGAAGTGTATTACCCACAATTCATTGCTGCCAAAACAGCGACCCGTTTTTTTTTTACGTAAATAAACCTTTATTGAACATTCTAACATGGTACAAAAAATAACAATGCTGCCAGGGGGAATGAAGAACTATAAATGAAAAACGAGGAAATAAATATATATAAA